ACGTGTCTCTTGACCTAAATGGAGAAAGGTCGCTTCAAATGACAGTACACGTTCCGACGCACACACACATCTTCCGCCGACGTTTTTAATGACCTAAAGACCTGTAAATAAACCCAAGTCATTCTGTAAGCACTTTGTTCACTATATGATATGCAAACGCATGACCAGGAATATCCGAAAACATTTGTTCACTCACCGATTTGAAATTGAAGGCAACTTGTAAGTGTTATCCAAATCAAAGTTGCTAAATATATATCTCACACGTGAATCGATGTGCGATGGATATTGTTTACAATAGGCGAACGTTTCCAACGATTGATCTTGATGTGCCGACACTTCTGTTGTCAGTGCGCATTTTTTTTTACACATAATTACCCTGTCTTTGTAACAGAACAACGGATTGAGGTGCTACAATATATATCTTGCTAATCACTGACAAACTTTAGGTCGGCGGAGACTTTTTATTGTCACATCCCTTCAGAAATGAGTTTCTCGATTGGATCGAGCCGATCATCTAAACAGCATTTTTACACTCTGGCGGTGCTAGCTCGCTGGAAAACAATGAAATGAGGAAGCCAGTTAGTTTTGGCGAGATCTGATCGGATTATGCAGAACCTTCAGTTGCCATATAAACGCAGTCGTTTGTGTACAGTTGAAATAAACCTGTTAGATTAATGTAAATGGCTCCGACTCGCTAGTTTATGATATGGCCCGCAGCACACAGATTGTTTCACCCCAATCAACCATCTGTGTAGATTGATGGAAAATCCATGCAGCTGATCGCCGATCACGTGTATAGTTCCAACCACAAGCATATATCAAAATTTTGACTGGTAAAAATTTTCTCAGGGATGGTATACTTCCGTTGTTAGATCGAGCGAAACTACCTTCTTTGTGAAGGTAGACCGTATACCCACAGATGTGGAGGACGGTTAACTCTTCCAACATGTTTGCAGACGAGTATGCTGCATAATCGGAAAACGAGGCTCACGAGCAAGTCTTCATCCAGCGTGTGTATGTATGCTAGCTTCGAGCGTGCACGACTCTGTATCAACCACAGATACGGTCTTGGACAATTGTCGCGAGAGCCACGCATTCTCTCATTGAATTTGAATGTGAAGACAGACTTGACCACAGCATTCTAAGCCTATACTCCATATAGGATGTACCAGAGAAGGTCATCCATATTTTCGTCTGTTATGCACTGATAGCCGAAGCTGAGTCCACATTGTGTAATTCATGTTCACCACCACTAGTGTATCTGTGTGATACTGTGTGAATCTTCTCGGTCCGTTTGATTTGGATTGCTTGTGTTGTTTATTCCTGTATGTTGCCCGTAATCTAGTTATATGTTTTCTCCACTATAGTTCGTCTGTGGCGTCCGTTTGAAAAAGTTTAACTAGTGTTTCTGCTAATGAATATGCCAGAGTAAAGGCTAAAGCACCGATTCAACAAGTGTAGCAGTTACTAATCGTAAATATTTCTCATGTTGGTACAAATTCTCCAACTCTTGTAAAGTACCGATGGTTCCTCCATACCGATGCTATCGATAATGGACAACCTTTTGTTCAGATAGACAGATACTCATGGCTTACTTGCATTTACAGGCTTTTGCGTTTCGTATCAAAGTAGTTCTTTATCACAACTCCTAAGATCAGATTTTTTGCTGTTAATCGACCGTATTGTCTAAAACGATTTTTCTCAGCAACATCTTTGTTTTCGCATTCATACACGATATTATGGCCCTTGTTCAAGGACAACCGCATTCTCCACAAATCCGCTAACTTGATTGTTTTTCCCATTGGAAAATCACGCTTATCTCTGTGCACTGCTATCTTGGGCATTTGTGAGCAAAAGCATTGTGACAATGAGAGTTTGGTTTTCAGTTTCAACTCTTGATCGTTGTGTACAGTTCCTTGTTGATTGAAGCCTGAAGCCCACCCAACACATGCAATCTCACTAATCCATAGCCCTGGAAGAAAAGAGACGATACGATCACGATGTCGTGAATCAAGGCAGGGTTTGTTTGTGCCTGCCAACTCCGCTCACAAAGAGCCTAAATAAGGACCGTGAAAACTGGTGGGCAAAAATAGCCAACCCATCAACTGCTATTCGTCGACTGTTCCCATTGATTTTTAACACGGGGGAAGTCGGCGAACTTCCGTTAGTGAAGTAATCTACAACGAATGTGGACAAGCAGTTCGCAGTAGGAAACAACGATTTGATCGCTGGGTAGTATCTAAGCGAACAATTCAGCTTGCCTGGTGCTAGCCAGATTATCTCGTCTGATGAAGCTGCAGCTCCACGGGAAGTGCTATGTAATACTTCTACAGAAGCAGAAGTATTACCTTTCCTACGAGCTCTGGAGAGAGGAGGAAGAAACGGTACAGGGCAGGGCTTCTTTCCACTCTTTTGAAGATGAAGATAAGTTAGCGCACCACTACTGACTTTCAGCACCAAATCCGGTCGCGAGAATTCATCCCATCATCTTTGTGTGAATTGTGAAACGATCTCCCAATGACAGCGCTCACTATCATGGGATACGTTTGATCCCAAGAAGTCGTCAAAGTATTTGCTTACGTCACAATTCGACCTTCGAAGGCTAAAAGAGAGACCATCGATGGTGTTATCAAGTCGTGCAGCTGTCATACTCGTCGCCTAACAACGACGAGTGTTCCATCATTTGAACGTAGTTTGTGATTGCGAGGCTCTCTTTTTCGAAAACGACTGCTCCCGGAGTTTGGTAACTACTAACACCATTGCACTCTTACACTTCTGGTCACGTGAGCATCTCTAACGAAGTACATAGGTGGGTCGTTCATTACAAGTAGTGATGTTCGTCGAAGGTAACGTAATTCGCGATTGCTGCTCAATTTCGTCGTAATCGAAATACACGAAAATGCACCAAGTGGTTTCGAGAATGTTGGTATTGTATGGGCAACTGATGGAAAGCTTTGTAACCTACAGTTCGTCGTCCGAATAGACGGGAGACGCGCCAAAAGCAATTGTCAGATGAACAAGTTCTGTTACATCCTTCAACTTGCACTGCGCACTTTCAAAGGTCAAAAGTGCTGCAGCAAGACAGCGTCGAATAGCCTCACGTAGAACAATGGTGGTCGGGAATTCCATTCGGTTGCTTCTCCTACCTGGACAGCTGTGTGACAAATGACAGCAGAATACAATTTCCAGAACTCGAGCAATTTACGCTGGATCAAAATACCGACGTAAGGGCGCCGCATCACCAGAGTTGAGATTTGTTCCATATTGTACCACCTTTCGGTCACTTCTACCTTGTGATATCTTAAATTGGTGTGCGTAAAACATTCATCAACTGAAGGTCTTTACGCAGCTTGGCGGAGATAGAACGGAATGATCGGATTATTAACCCGTGTTAGGCAATGGATGAAATATCAATTTTCGCGCACAAAAACTTAACTTATTAAGCTTTAGAGACGACCGAGAATTTTGATGGGCGTTACGCGCAAAAGAGATGAGATCGGCACCTAGGTGTGGAAACCCTACGGCCGCTGTTCCCACCATCTGCACTATTGGCCCCATAAGACAGTACACCAGTAAAACAATCTGCAAAGTATATTGCACCCTAATATATAATCCACCAAAGCTTTGGACACTGGGCCCAATCCTTCACATCGCACACCGCGCTGGATACTCCAAATATTTCTCTTGAGAGTGCATCCTGGTTACGGAACCACCTACAGAATCCGAGAGAACTCGACAAGGCGTCCGTATCAGACAACATGCCAACAGCGCTCTTTAAAGTTAGTGGAGAAGCTCGCTTTCCTCATCCCGCTTACGGTACTCAATCCCTGATCACGTTACACAACCTCATTTGCTTTGGATTGCTTACGAGTTTGTTACCGGGCCTTGAAGTGCTCGTTGTACGCTGATGGCCGGAATCAAATTATGTCAGATCTGCGTCGTGACTTTTCTTGTTGTCCATTTTTCCTTTGTCAGATTACTATCCGGAGTTCCTTCTGCGTTACGTCTATCCGTTCATGTTTTTCATAATTCTGGGCATATGCAGTTGGGTGTGGTTGATCAAAGAATTGCAAAAGCTGTACACGTGGATCAAAGACGAAAAGTGAGTGTCCATTCATTCCGTCGGTACTTCAAACCAAAACAGAGAGCCATTTCACAAGTTTCATGTTATTCGCATTCCAAACCAACTCCTGTATCCTTGTTGTCATTAATCGGTTAGCACGAGTGGTTTATTTTACTCTTCGGTGAATCTTTTTTTGTGCGGTCACTGGACCAGGTTGAAATTATAGTCACTATGTAACTGAGACGAATCGATCACTAGGGCGGGGGTGACCACCGATTGATGTCATTCAGCTGTCCCGGTCGCGTCTCCCTAGTCATAACCTCCATCCGAATATCCGTTGGGTGAACAGTTGTATGGTTTGAAAAGAACTACAAATTAATCTAGAGTTTGAACCATTCCTCCGCCAAATGTCGATTTGTACCAGGAGCCCACAGTAACGAAAGAATTCACCGGGATATTAATTAGAACAGGTTGGATATAGTTGCATTGGTACATCCGCATGTTCAGCGTAAGTAAGTTTGACTGCTCCAAGAAGGCACTGGGTATCCCAGAGGGGGAATATCGCCGATTCGAGTCCTACTTACGAGGTTCGTTTAGACTAGTATGAATTTATATATTTCACACACGTCTGAATCAAGACTGTGCCAAACAAATCGTGGCACAATAATCTTCATATAAAGGAAAATCGTTCAATAGTTTGCATGTGGGCGGAATAGTGCCAGATTGCCCAGGCCAAGGTATGTGAATTTTTTTGAGGAATCCACAACCGAAGCCTTTGACTAGCCAAGCCTAATCCGCAAGGAAGCCGGGTGGTGTGAGAAAACCGCAACCCATTGGGGGGCCGGTGTCTAGTTCATCGGATCATATGCCTTTCGGACGGGATCAATCACACCAGTGACCACTGCCACAACCAGGAAGTTGTGTGTGGTTCGTACGCCTCCCTTCTTGGTTGGTTTGGTATCAGGATTTCTGGCCAACTCACCTAGATGAACTACAAGTGGTTCGCCAACCCGGTTATAGCCCCAGGTGTCAGCTTTTCGTCCTCTCACTTCGACGGAAAAACACCTCCGCCACAGGAAGACAGTGAGTAGGGCTTTCTCAGCAGTGGCTATTTTAGACGCTTGGTCATATGGGAGCATTTTGCGAGGTGCAAGGGGAGGGTGACCAGCCGCAACCCTAGACACCCACCTCCGACCATACTGAAAGCTTTTGGAAGCGAAATTAGTGAAACATGAAGACTGTCGCAAAGTAACCTCTTGTTCTTCAATACGGCGAACTATTTGCTTTTCTGTTCGAGAGTACGAAATTCTCGTGATTCTCTCCAAGTTACCAGGCTCACATTTGTGTATTCTATTGCATTCCTTTCAGATACCTGGTTGGTCGACGCCTAGTGAACTGTGGTCCTCCAGGACCGAGCAACGACACAAGTCAAGCCCTGACTCCGTCCCCTAATCAGTCTGCATGATTTCGTCCACTTCCGCGTTGTTCCACGAAAAACCGTTGTCTCTTGCTTGCATGCTGTAAATAACGCCTTATTTGACCCACGTGTGATGCGTGTCAATTTCTTCACGCCACACAGATGGGCGATGTCATTTCTTGTTTCTGATCAGTCGGATGCCCACCCCACCTCCTTCCGTGCTTGCCGATGAATTAATCGTGAATGTGGCCACATCGGATCACGCGACATTCTCGATTCGGATTCTCACCGGAAGCGCTTGTTACTTCCCTGCCCCTGCCTACCCCCCCCCACACACACACCTGTTTAGGTGCACCGCCACACTCACATTATGCTCTTTGCAATAACTGTTATGCTAACCGACTGTACTGCGTACAATAGAACAACAGAACCAAACGAAGTGAAATGGAATGATCTGTAATATGTGATGATAAAAATGCACAGGTTGGGGGTATTAAATGTGAATAAGATTGGGATTTCTGTCTACGATTTGTCCTTTTCCTTCCCCGTCGGGAGTGCGGGCTTTCCGTAGTTGATTTGGATGAACTGCAATCCGATGAGGAAGGAACACAAGAAATGCCGGTGAAGTCAAGGTTTTAACAAAGCTAAAGCTTATCATACCCAATAGGATTTTTACAGAATCTTTTAAATAACTTCACAAAGAGAAATAATTATGATAAAAATTGGCATGATCACTCACGGATGTCGAAATTTAAAGTTTTCCAATACCAAATCAACTTGCAATTTAAATAGTTCAACCGTAGGAGCACACTACTTCTGATGCAAGAGAATTTCATACGCCGCACAATCTGACTACGAACGAGTGATTCCGGCTGGGTTTTCAACTTGGGTGGATGTCGTCTGAGGTGATCATTTTGAGATAAAGTTCTCACAGAACAGCAAGGGTGGCTGGGTTGATGCAGTATACGGTATGTCAAGATTAGGTCTCCTCGAAGTCGACGGCATTGAGGTAAGTAAAGTCCCAATATTCGCAGTCTTCCGGAGTATGCCAATATTGTTACCTACCTCTTCGGACTTTCTACAGGCTTCATGTCTCGGTTCAACCATGGATTCCATAGTTGAACGACAACAACAGAGGATAGGCTATCGGACAAAGACTGTTGGTATCCATTTCAGAAACGACGAGGTTGGGCTGAAAAGCCAGAGAAAGCAGATCCGCTGTATTGAGCAAATGCTTGCTATCTCCTGTTGATGTGGAGTATAGTTACCTGGTTTAAGAATGTTATCCTCAATTCTGAAGTCAGATTGCGATGTGTTCTAACTCCGATCTCGTACACACAAAGGTTTGCACTAGAACGAGAGAAGTGACCACAGGAATTAAGATTAAATCGATTGGGGCGAGCCGGTTCTCGCGAACACTTTTTCCAATGACGGAGATGGTTCCTTTGAGCCGGTGCACTGTCGACAAACAACCCACTTTTCTGGTCTCAATCAATTATCTACTTTTCAACAATGGTTCACTGAAGCGCAGACACATATCAGCAATGAGCAAATGAAGGGATGATACTAGGTTGAGCGAGTTTCTTTGTCAGTGAATTGAACAACACTTGCACACCTGACCGGTAGTTGATTTGAAATGCACGTAACAACATTTTACTTCGATTAAAACAAAAACGTACCTGTCTGATTTTCTGGTTAATGGTCGATCGATTTTCTTCGTCCGGGATACGATGGAAAAACCGAGAAATCGGTTTCGAAGACGACTAGGGGACAACAGAATAGAGGATTAAAAATCCGTTTGATTCAAATCTGGCAAACAAAACCAATCGGCTGAAATTAGTCACGTCAAACGTCCGCCGCGTAATAGGCATAGAAATAACCGGAACGGGAGCACAACAAACACGCAGAATGTTTCATTTCTTTGCAACCCACCGGGCAGAATAAATATCTACCTGCTGCGATCGGCGAAATAGATTCCTTCGGAAAACAAGATCAACAGATCATTCCCATTTGTCTGGTGTATTGTTTGTCGGTCACCAGTCGGATGAACGGAACAGCAAGTGTACGGGCGATTCCGTTCGAATTTATTGGCGAAAAATAATACAAGCTCAATAACAAATACAAAATGGGCTGTATTTCTAATCTAGCCACAGTTTTTTGAACGGTGGCATACGAACTGTGTCGCTAATGCATCCGAACTGTCCTCGATATTGGTTACGGTTTTTCTTGGGTGCAACGGATTCGAATTATGGTCTTGCTTTGATGTGATTGTGTTTTCCTTCTGCAGCATTCATATCTTGCTTGAGAATTTGTTTTGTTTGCGCGACAAAGTTTGCTTCTATTTTTCCATGCCCCGGGGACTGACACGACGGATTTGTGTTCCTTCCCTGCTGCAAATGTGTTAATCAAAAGCTCTTCAATCTTTTATCCACTTTCGGTATGATGACTTTGGACTAGCCGCACACATCGAGGTCCACCTTTGAAGGTCGTATCTTGGAATAAATGTGTACCCTTGTCATCAGCAGAGATTTTACGTGAGCAGTTTGATAATGACACCCAATGACCATTAATCAGTGTATATATATATATATGTGTGTGTGTGTGTGTACTGCAAACATCGTGCCAAATGAGATACCAATCCGGTTGATTAAAATAAACACTCATCAAGCAAATAAAAAGAATGAACCTCAACTCTGTTGTGCATCAAATATCTCCTAATTCTGAGCCGTTACATTTGAACAATTACAAATTCTGTCGGGACATTCCGGGTCGCGAGAATTCAAATGGCAGAGGGAAATAAAGTTCGAACTAAACACATTTTACTCATGGCTATCACGAGAATCGACGGATGGGAAGGTGTGAGGAGATGAAGAAAGCTGCGGTTATTGGTAATAGTCATAATCATTTCTGTCTAATTAGGAATACGGGCCCTAGAAAAATAGGCGTAAGTGACGCAATTAAGGAATTCGATGGCATACTGATTCACCATCAGCAAGGCCGTCTTGACCATTGGGTTGAACATTTCGAGGCTCAGTTCAACTGGCCCCTTTCGAAACCTGAACTATTACCCTCCACCTCGACTACGCAAATACTCCCAGTTGATGCTAGTCCTCCATCTGAAATGGAGGTTTCCCGGGAAATAAGCTACCTCGAAGGGCATAACTCCCCGGCCCAAACGGGCTGTCATCATCGGCTTTTAAGGATAGAGGTTCAGCCTTGGTTTTGGAATTACCGAAACTCCTGGGTTCAGTGTGGGAGAGACAAGAGGTTCCAACGGAATGGTGTGAACCAGCTAGTCGACGAACCGTCTTTGACCTCCACCTTGAAGTCGCTTAGCCACCGTCGTGCAGTTGCTTCGTTATCTCTTTTCTATCGTTACTAAATTGGTTTCTGCTCTTCCGTGCTCGCATCAGCGGTTCCCCTTCCATTGACTTTCTTTCGTCCATCTCGTTATCAGGTTTCTATCCACAGATGGATTTCTATCTTTCAATCTTTTTCCCGAGGACTACGAAATTATGGAACACTATTCCCATTCCCGTGTTTTCCAGCTCCTATAACCTTACCCTTTTCAAAAGCAAGACTAACAAATTGGTTCTTACTTAAATGTTCCATCCCCCCCCCCTCCCGAGTTCACCACAGAAAGTGGTGTTCGTCAGGGTTGCCTTGTTTCTCCTTTTCTATTCAACTTTATCATAGATCTATTTCTTGAAACAGCCCTGTCCTCGTGCGAGGATAGCGGTATTGATTTACTTTCGGGTGACAGACTGTCTGATCTGGAGTATGCAGACGAAACTGTGCTACCAAATGAAGATCCAGGTCAGTTGCAAGCATTTCTGGATAGCTTGAGTGCCAGCGTAGGCATGTTCGATATGCGTTTTGCACCTTCAAACTGTAAAAGGTTGTTACAAGATTGGATTGGTTCAGCACCCAGCCTCACTCTACCTGGGGATGTAATAGAGCAAGTGGATAAGTTTTGTTATTTGGGCAGCTACATCTCAACCGGCGGACGAGGTGGCAGCTCGCATACAGAAGGCTCTGTTGGCATTTACCAACCTGAGACATCTGTGGCGCTGTCGCGACATCCATCTATCTGTGAAGGGTTGACTGTATGCTGTGGCAGTTCGGCTATACGGCCCAGAAACTTAGCCAATAAAGAAGCAGGATAAAAATAGACTGTCGATATTTGAACACCGTTGCATGAATCTGGTGGAGCAGTCGGGCGAACAATGCTGAGGTTAGGCGCAGAGTTTTGGGTATCCGCGGTCGCCCAATGGAGCAAGTAGTCGACATCCATAGAATTTGTTGCTTGGGGCATGTTACCCATGTCACCAGATGGGTTTCCACGGCGAGAAATGTTCACTGAGACAGGTAATGGGTGGAAAAAGCTAAGAGAGAATGAAAACCCTAACCAGGAGTCTGGGTCACGTAGGTCCTGTTAGGCTCCCTGGATGGGGACCTCTGGATAATCGTTACCGATGGTTAAAGACATTCGGTGATATAGCTGAATGTCGCAAAAAGTCTCGTTCGTGTGTCTTCTCCACTTCTTGACAAAAGGAGTGCACTGAAATTCCAAATTTTATCTTTGATACTACTTTCAACCTTCCATGTCTTTCTCCGCATGTGTATCCAAATGGGCAACCAAAGCCAGCGCATGGTTATTAGTTGTCAAACCTAACTGGTGGCTGTCGATAAGCCAGTACAGAACGGGAAATTAGAATATATATTACTAGACTGTAGGGCCATATTGCACAATTTCGGTCAATACTACTCGTTTCGTCCAATGATGTGGTGGATGATATGTCGAACCAATACAGCACACAATGCTGATGTCGTCGGACGGGTTGACGATGACCTGATGTTCAACCCCAAACACATCATGATTATCGTAAAGAGAGATACAGTGAGATGAAACTCCCTGATCGCTGTGAAGCTCATAGCTTACCTCAGGGTTGCTCACATCCTTGCTCAATTCAACCCGCGCCAAACTACGTAAACATCAGCAGTCGAAGGCTTTTAGATGATGAATATCTTCCACGCGTAAACTTAGA